ACCCCCTCCAGCTGAGATGATGAAACTTAAGAAGAAACAGGTTTGAGCAGAAGAGCAGAGCTAGTGCAGGGGAGAGGGGTGTTGAGCAGGCAGCTGAGTACCAAGCCTGGGGGAAGGTCGGGGGCAGTTATCAGTCTGGGAGTCACTGGCTATGGACTAGATTGAAACCCAGGGAATGGGTGAGACAGCCAGGACGGAGTGTGGACAGGGTGGGGAAGGAGGCCCAGGCAAGCAATGGGAAACAGCAGCCTAAGAGCCGGAGCAGGAGCAGCCAGGGAAGCCACGGGGGGAAGCCATGGCGTGGTGTCACAGAGGCTGGGAGGAGGAGGTATTTCAAGAAGGGGGCATTCACCTGGGCTGAAAGCTGCTGAGAGATCAAGCAAGGTAAGACTGGACCAGGGGGTTTGGCAAGAGGGAGGTTATTGGTGACCTTGAGAGCTGTTTTGGAGGAGTGGTGGGGACAGAATACAAACACAGCTGGGGAGAAGGGCTGGGGAGGACGCAAGGCAGCGAGCATCGCCAACTCCTTCGAGAGGGGTTCCAGGGGAGGGGCTGGGAGGGGGAGGGTTTGGGAGGATGGCAGTCATTTGAGCATGTTCACATGTCCAAGGGATTGATTGGTCAGCAGAGGGGGAGGTAAGGACCGTGCAGGGGGAAGCGCTTCGAAGGTGGGGCTGGGGCTGGGACCCCACACACGCTGAGCTGACTGGCCTCTGACAGTGCGAGGACCACTCACCTCTCATCACAGCAGGAGGGGAGGCTGAGTGAGGGCCCCAGTGCACGCAGGTGGGTACGTGGTGCGGTGAAACATAGCCAGCAGGAAGGAGCACACCCCAGAGAAGTCCACTTCCCCACCCCTACCGGCGGCTGCAGGAGAAGCAGAGCGAGGCCAGCCTGGCTCCCTCTGTCCTTGCCCTCCAGCTCAGGGTTGTGTTTGGAATCAGGGTGGGGTGGGGAAACTGATGGCTTCCCCCAGGGGCTCTTAAAAACAAAGACACGAGCCAGAGAGAGGAGCTAATCCCCCTGTGGGAAAGTAGGGCACGCCCTGGGTCAGGAGGAAGAAGACACAGCAGGGGGTCCGGCTCTGGCCCCGGCTACTATGTGGCCCTGGTGAGGCCCACCTCTCTGGGCTGGCCTCGTCCCTTTCAGCAGGTCTAGAGCCTCTGGAGTCAGACCTGGATCTGCTGCCGCTTCTGCACTCACTTAGAGATTCAGGGTGATCCTCCAAGTCCCCTGCACTCTTTGATCCTCAGTGTCCTCATCTGTAAACGATGTAACTCTCCCTCCTGGAAGGGACAAGGGCATGTGTACCAAGTGCCCTGCTGGTGCTGAGCACAGAGTAGTGCCTTGCCAAGGGAGGTCCCACGCTGCCCTCTCTCCGCCTGCCCCAGGGTGTGCTGGCCGTGGCTGTGGCCCAGGTGTGCCACGTGGTACCCCTGGTGGTGGGTGGCATCTGCCAGTGCCTGGCCGAGCGCTACACCGTCATCCTGCTAGACGCGCTGCTGGGCCGCGTTGTGCCCCAGCTGGTGTGCGGCCTCATCCTGCGCTGCTCCAGCCAGGACGGTGCCGTCCCAGGTGAGCCTGCTGCCCACCCCACTCGCTGCGTGCTCTCCTCCTCCCCCGCATGGCCCCGCACCACCCTCTCCTCCGTGGTCCCCTGCCATGCCCTAGGGAGGTCAGGAACCAGCACCTCTGCAGGCGGCTCCCACTGTTTTCTCTCTAGCACTCACTGCCCTGCAGTCGCTGCCAGGAGATTGGCTGTCACAAGACAAGGAGTGTCGCCTCTGCATGTCTATGGCCACGCAGGCCGGGAATAGCAGCGAAAAGGCTACGCCACAGGCCATGCGCCAGGCCTGCCTCGGCTCCTCGCTGGACAAGCAGAAGGTGCGGGCGGGCACACAGGGGACTCAGGACCCAGGCCTGCCCACGGTTGAGGGTCCAGCCCAAGAAAGGCTTCACAGCCAGAGACACACAGGGTGCGGGCCAGCTGATAGTGGGGCTGTGACTGAGGGCAAAACCTGCTAAGAGTTGGGTGTTGCCTCTGGCTGGACAAAGGCGGCAGGCTCTGGAGGAGCAGCAGGCCTCCCTCATGGGTCAAGCATGCACGAGGCGAGTCCTCTTGGGCCCGGTTATCTCCCAGGAGCTGAGTAACACCAGGGCCAGTTCTAGAAGGGCAAGGGCCCAGCCTTCTCCCGAGGGTCCCGGTTCTGCTGCTGCTACTGACCCTCTTGAGGTGTGACTCAGGACAAGCCCCTCTGCAGAAGGAGAGGGCTGGGCTTGAGGGTCCTGGAGCCCCTGCCAATACTCAGTCGATGACAGTAAATTTCCTCCTTAAAGCAGGATGGCGTGCTGAGGCAAGCGGGCCTCTCCTCCCACGGTGCTCCCTGCTCAGTAACTTCCAGGGCTCTTCCCTGCACATCACATCAGGTCACAAACACCAGATGAACTTAAAGATTCCTTCTGGAACTGAAATTTAGAAGGAGGGGGAGGTGGTGGCTAAGATTCTACCTCTCTGCCTGAGTTTTAAGTCCCCCCATCTCCAATGTCATTGGCTTTTCTGACAGAAACCCTCCGTTTCAGCCCGCTCTGGCTTATTCAGGGTTTTACTTGTAGCCAGAGCTGTTCAGTGGGGGCTGATGGCTGGACCTAGACCCCGAGTCAGAAGGAAGCCGTGGAGGGATCCAGAGATGTGGAGAGGGCCTGGGCTGCGAGGCAGGAGGGTCCTGAGATGGGCCTGGGTCTATCCACAGCTGTGTCTGTCTCTTTCCTCAGTGTGAGCAATTTGTGGCGCAGCACATGCCCCAGCTACTGACCCTGGTGTCCAGGGGCTGGGATGCCCCTACCACCTGCCAGGTATACCCACCTCTCCCAGCGGGTCCTAGGACTTCCCTCAGCTCCTAGAGCCCCCAGTCTGTCTGGCCCATGATCCTCAGAGGCCCCATTCCCCTGAGTCCAGGGTAGTTCAGGTGCACAGGCCCAGGACTGGGAGATGCCCCGGCTGTTTTCATATAGAAAAGGCCATCTCAGAGGACTACAGGAAAAGCCACAACAGAATGGAGAAGGGGGAGCATGGAAAGGGAGAGACAGACTTAAGGAGTGTGGTCTGATGCCCATCAAGGGATGAAGCTGTGCTCATTGACAGTGTGTGCCCGGCGGGTGGGGGTAAAATGTGGGTGTTCAGGGTGAGTAGCCACCTCCTCAGGTTCTAAACCCCAAAGGCCCATGGCTCAGTGGCCTGAGGAGTCTACAAGTTCACCAAGAGTACCCACTAGGCAGCAGGTGGAGTGACAGCTGCCCCTTCCCAGAGGAGCCTCCATGCCCCCTCAGAGCTGGGGGTCCCCGGCCCTAACATTGTCCCTGTGGCAGGCCCTAGGGGCATGTGCAACCACCGTCAGCCCTCTCCAGTGTATCCCCCACTTCTGACGAGAACTCAGCTGTCCAGGTGAGTCCAGGCCCTTAACGAGGGGGAGGGGAGAGGACGGGAGGGGGCAGGTCCTGGCCCATCAGGGCGGGAGGCCCTTCTGTTCCCCACGTAGGAAGAGGCGGCCACTCTTGCTGGCTGCTCCGTCCCCCTTAGGGGGAGGGGAGAGGACGGGAGGGGGCAGGTCCTGGCCCATCAGGGCGAGAGGCCCTTCTGTTCCCCACGTAGGAAGAGGCGGCCACTCTTGCTGGCTGCTCCGTCCCCCTCTCACATTCACAGCTCGGGGCTCCTGAGGGCCTCTAGCAGCACTATCAGGAAAACACCCCTTCTCAGACCCTGGTCACTCCCCTCCCCTCAGAATCCCTGTCACCCTCAGTGCCAGGCCCAACTTCCAGCTCCTCTCGCCCTGTGCCAGCCCCCGGGTGAGACTAAGCACCTGCCTGAGGCCTCCCCTCACAGCTCGCCCTCGCTGACCTTCACGACTTGGTGTGTTCAGACCACGGCCAAGCTTTCCTGGAACTCAGGGGAAATCACACTTGCTGCCCGAAGCTATCACCCCCTCAGCCGGGAACTCCGCTGTCATGACACATTTCTCTCTCTCTGACTGTCATTTTCTAAGTCAGAGGTAGCACCTTAGGATGGAGGGTGGGTCAGATGCAGCCTGTGACCAGGTGCCTGGGGGACAGGAAATGACCCTGAAAGGGAAAGACACAGCAACAGTGTGCTTAAAGTGATTTTGAGAGCAAACGTGGCTCACTTTACAACTCTGTTCAGAGCCAACCCCTAACATGATGGTCATTTATTCATGTGTTCACTCATTTTCAAAAAATGTAATGAGTGCCTGAGGCCAGGCCACATCCTAGAGGCAAGAGCTGCAGCTGAGAGTAAAACGTGGGACCCCTGCCCTCCTGGAGCTCACACCCAGGTCCACCTCTTCAGCCCCGCTCCTGAAACCCCTGTTGGGGGTGGTAGGGAGGGGCTGTTTGCCCCAACTCAGACCTATCCCCCAGGGATGAGTTTAATGTGTCCCTCCCCCACAGATGACAGCTGGGGACCGGGGATGGGAGAGCCATGCAGGCCTGGGCAGTCATCTTTCCCCAGCTCCCAGAGCTCCCTTCCTTCCCTGTTGAAACAGGAAGAGCAGTGGGTTGGCTCGGGAGGCCTGGCTCCAGTCCCAGCTCTGCCATCAACTGGCTGTGGGTCCCCAGACAAGCTACGCAGCCCCTCTCTGGCTCTTTTTCCTCAGCTGCAGAGCAGGAGGAGCCGAATGGGATGGGAACTCGAGCTCTTGAGGCTGCTCTCAGGCCCCCTGACCCTGCCAGCTGCCCACACTTGCTCTCTCCACTCCTTTCCCCAAAAGAACCTTACACTGATGGCCACAAGCCCTAGGCTGTGCTCTCAGTCCTGTGCCAGGCTTGTCTGTTCCACAGACACAGATGTAACCACAGCGCGGCACCAGAGCCACTTTGGTCCTCTCGGGTGTGAGGCGCACCCAGGGCGGTATCCTGCAGAGGAGATCTGCAGAGGGGCGGGCAGCCTTCACCCCCAGCTCACACAGCCTCCCACAGGCTGGGCTGAAGACCATGGCTCCAAGAGGACAGCAGGACACAAGCTGGACCACCTCACCGACCCCCATGTGCTCAAGAGACTGCCTTTTATAGTTATTTGCTAACACTCCTATGAAAGAATAAAAGATGGGAACATAAAGCACTCTAAAAGACAGATACATGAAATTTTGAAATTAAGCTTTTTCCAAAAATCAGGAAATCCCTGGCATGGTCAAGTGTGGACACTGTGTGCTCCAGCAGGATAGCAAGTTGACTGGGCAGATTTTCATATCTGAAATGTTTGGCCGCTTGAGAGCTGTCATTTTGTTAAGATACGAAGAGGAGTTTTCATTTTATCTTTTTGTAAGGTGAACTTCCAACTTCCATTCGAAATTCCAAGGATGATTCTATATATCTCATTTCTGCTCTCATTTATCTCCTGACACCTCAGTTAGGGCTGTGCATGCTAAAAATCAGTTCAAAACTCAGAAACTACAGACAAAAAAAGAGTGGAAATCATCCACAACCCCACCCATCGCAGGAGAGAGCTATAGCAGGATGTATGTGTTGACACTGAACTTGGGACGTTTTCAGTCCTTCTCCCCACCCTCTGGCTCCACACCTCCACCATTCAGGCACCAGGAAAAGCTTCCTGTGCAACCTGCTCTTGAGCTGGGGATGAGACGCACAAAACCTTGGCCTCTGAATTGGAGCTCTTAAATAGACTTTTCTAAGTCTATAGCAGACTACTGTCTTGAAAGCTATTGTTTCAATGACAAAACCCAGGTCTCTACGAGAAAAGAGTGTTTTAATTAAAAAATAAAAATAAAAAGCTTGATTGGGAAGATGAAGAGCCAAAGCTTGAAGAAGGGGAGGCATTGACAATTTATCCCCCAAACAAGAGTGGGAATGAGTGCCTGATAATGGCAGAGAAGGTGTCACTCAAAAAGAGATCAAGAGTTGACAAGCTGGTAGGAGGAGATTTGGCAGGAAGGGGCTACACCTGAGACTCAGAGGGTGCCTGAGAAGTGCCCCACACCCTGCGCCCCCCAGAGGAAGGTGGGGGAAGAGGAGCTCCAGGAGAAAGCCGGGCCCAAGAGGAGGGGATTTGTTCTTTCACTTTCCAGGGTGCAGGCTTCTAAGGGAAGCCTGCCTCCAACATGACATCAGAAAGGGTGAGGAGCATGGCCTTCAGGAGGGGGCTCAGCAGACAGGATGATATCCCATAGCCCAAGAAGCAGTCAGAATTGGCTCTGGACAAGATGGCGGCCCCATAAGAGCCCAAGGTTGGGGACAAAGCAGTAACAGCAGATTTCACCATCTTGAGATGAGCAGAAATCAGACATGTGTACCAATGCTGGTGCAGGAAAGTGGTGACCAGGCAAGACAAGTGATGTGTCAGTGGAGACCTGGAGGACCAGGGAGAGCACAGTCTCTGACACCTCTCCTCACAGGGCAATCTGTAAATCATTCCCAGGGAAAAGGGAAGGATTCCCAAGGGAGGCTGAATATTCAACAAGAAGGGCTGAGTTACTTTCAAATGGAAATAGTACAGTTTGAGGGCTCATGAGCCAAAATAAGTTTTGTGGGTTTTTTTATCGAAACATCAATTGTACACATCTGTGGGGTACAGCGTTGAATATCAATACCTGTGTACATTATGTGATGCTCAAATCAGGATATTTAGTACATTCAGCATTACATAATATAATCATTTTTTGTGGCCCTTTATCAATTTCTGACTAACCGTCTCCCCCTCCCCCTTTCCCACCTCTGGTGACCTCAGTTACATTCTCTCCTTTTGAAAGATCAATGAATTATTGTGATTGCTGTTATTTCTTTTTTTTTTCGCTCCCACTTAGGAGGACATGCAGTATTTCTTTCTGTGCCTGGCTTATTTCACTTAATTTTCTCTGAGTTCATCCATGTTGCTGCAAATGACAGAATTTCATTCTTTCTATGGTATAGTAATATTCCATTGTGTATATATGCCACATTTTTCTTATTCAGACATTTGTTGATGGACATTTATGTTGGTTCCAACTCTTGGCTATTGTAAATAGTGCTGCGATAAACATGGGAGTACAGGTATCTATCCCTTCAACATGATGATTTCCATTCCTCTGGGTATACACCCAGCATTGGGATTGCTGGATTATATGGCAGACCTATCTGCAGTTGTTTGGGGAACCTACTGTTTTCCATAATAACTGCTAATTTACAGTCCCAGCAACAGTGTAGGAAGGTTCCCTTTTCTCCATATCCTTGGCAACATTTGTTATTCTCTGTCTTCCAAAATGAGTTGTTACAAATAAAGACAGTTACATTTATGTCTCCCTGATGAATGACTGAAAATCTAAATCCACAACACAATCATTATTAACACTTTATTAGATATCATACCAAACCTTTCTGTGCACATATACAAAAATAGATACAGCAGCTTTGCAAAAATGGGAACATCCCACACATGCTGCTTTGTAGCCTGATCGTTCATTTAACAATAACCTTTCCAGGTCGATAAATACAGGCATCTACCATCATTGCTAATCATCACGACTTTTTTTTTTTTGTTAACAAACTCTTTCCTTTTTTTTTTTTGTCTTTTTTCCGTGTCCGGCAACAGATCGCAACCCTCAGTGTTGCCCCCGTACCGGACCGGGGACCGGCGACGAGATCGCAAGCCTCGGCGTTGCTCCCGCGCCTTGCTCAGCCAGTGAGCGGGAGCCGGTCTGTACGTGGGATCCGAACCCTCGGA